CGACTTGGTCAATCGCGGCCGTGATTCGAACACACGTCCTATAACTGAACATATATGATTGTTGATAGTCAATTACCTTAAGGAATTTTATGTATTAATTAAATGATTTTTTCCGGATCCCCCATCTATATTGTAAGACATATTAAAGATGATAATAAAATATAGTATTCAAAGATCTCTTTCAGAGTTACTTATTTAAAGCGACAGTACGGCTGCAAAACGTGTGCTTTTTCATTCAAATTTTCCCAATATGTCATTAAGAAATAAGATATAAAGTTGATAAAATTCATACATTTTTATTAATGAATGTACAACCATTGTTTACAATGCATACAACCCCTGTCTTTCGTGATATTCCTCGAAAAAATGAAAGCAGAGAAAATTCAAACTAAACATGAAAATGAAACTTTTTTATGAGAAACACATTAGACGTGCTCTTATTTTAATCTAGGAAAAAATCAAATTCAATTGAATTTATTTATTATATTGCTAGTTAATAGTCTATAATTAAAAAAATCTACTACAAATCTAGAGAATTGTAACATTTAATATCTTTGCGTTTTATTGACCGCTGAGTTTGCACTACGTGCACGAGTTTGTCCCGAAACATTAGAGCTTTCAGTATCGAACATTCCGTTGTAAACAAAAAATGTAGTCTGGTCAACCTCCAACGACAATATTCAAAATGAGTTTTGGCAGCTAGGTAAGATGTGTATATTTTCACACTAAATTGAAATTATTAATAAGGGAAACTGGAATGATATAATAGTGATCACTTACAGGAAAAACGCTGAAGTAGCCCCGTTTTAATTTGAATACTGATACTGAAAAATTCTCATAAATTCTGAGCTTTTAATTGAAATGATTAAAGAATGGGAAATGGTTTAGCTATATAATTAAAAACTGTTGAACTTATATTGGTAAATATTGGTACTCGTTGGTTGCACATATTGCACTAACAAGCTCAATCATTTGTACAGCCAACTCGTACCAATATTCATCAACATAAGCTCTATATCCCTATATTATTTATTTGTGAAATATTTGGAAGAGTCAATTTATCGAGTTTCACCTATTGTTTCAGTACGTTTTCTATTATGTACTATTTATTGTCTTTCATGCTTGTGAGTGTAACTTTTTCGTGCATCATGATGATTTCTAATAAAAGAGAGTAGTTCAAGCATGTTCATATATCTTATTAGTTGTGGTTAATAAGAACGCGTTGACTTGGAAATGTTCCATGTATAAATTGCTCATAACGAAATCTCAGGTTTAAAAAAAGAGAAAAAATATCAATCATTTTTTTCTTAAATCATCATTACATTATCATTAACAATTTATAAGCGGTTAAAATTTCGATGAGGAACTGTTAGCGAATCTGTTGTCATATTTAAGCGGTACATCAAATAAAAACTCTTTTACAAGGATATTTTTATTGATGATGGAGAGATAAATTTACAACAAACATAAGGCAATTATGCAGAAAAGATAAAAAATACATGTACCTAGTGATTGACAAAAGAGTATTATTTTTGTATTCATTCAGTTCACCTAACATTTATTTTCCTTGTGTGTAAGGCAAACCCAACAGCAGATTAAACTAGCCGTATATGTTTTCTATAAGGAATTACTCCTGAGATGAAGATGATCTTGAGATATTTTGGAAGAATTTTTTTTTACCTTTTTTCTGGCTTCTGTGTAGCAATTGACTTATTCTGCTGAATCCATTCAACAAAAGTTATTTCACAAATATAAAAAAAAAAGAAAGTAAGAAAAGATTTTATCAATATCAATGAAGTTTTAGAAAAAAGTAACCGTGTATGTACGACTAAATTATGGTCTCATCAGAAATTCCAAATACTACTAGATTCATTTATTTAGATCATGAAATATTAAATCAACTGATGATCAATTTTTAGAAATTAGTTGTTTTAAGAAATTCACAACTGTAGTTTGAAACAAGGAAAGAACAAACGCACAATGAAAATGTATAGGTGGACCGGAAATCAAATCGGGAATCCTTCTATTACTATTAGGGTGCTCTGACCACTTATGTCCAGCTTCCACATAAGCCCAGTTTACAATATTCCTCTCTCCTCAGCCTTAGGAGAAAACGCTATCAATCACAACATAATTCGAACCCGGTCCCCCTAAACACTTGACAGCTGCTCCCCTTTCGATCAGAGATGGAATCTTCCTGGACGAAACTTTTTTCTAAAGTCATAAAAATTAACCCTAAAGTTATTTTTGTTTAACTTGAAGGTAACGAACATTGGTCAATCTCAAGAAGTCAGTGAATAAAACGAATCCTAAACAGGGTAAATACATGGACCACTAGAAACACCAGAGTGAAATCAAGTGCAAAGGAGAGATAACATGCCTCGTCGACCGGTCACACCTGCCGTAAGCCCTATGTATTGATCAGGTAGACGTAGTCAAATTTAGTACAAACAATGACCTGACAAATGGTATGAAACATGTCAGACAAAAAATATCTATAATAGATATGCTGTATTTACAAAAGTAAAATGAATAAATTTATCCCCATCAATTTCATGTTTTCATTCACAGTTTCACACTAATGTCTTTTAAAATGATGGGAAGTTTGAAAATTAATACGAGTACCATCAAAAACATAGAAAATGGAAAGTTAACTATTTCTTTAGAAATTTGATATTTGTATCATTTATAACTGAAATATGTCAAAAAATATATCAATCCAGACATTCATTTTTCTGGGTTTTTTCATCTTTCCTTTAAGAGCAGGAAACTCAGGTAATGCTTTATAAAAAAAAAACAATGTTAATTTGTCAAGAAAATGTTTTTAGTTTGCCAATTGTGGCAAAATAATTTAATGAATAATAATTACACTGAATTGTGTTTGATTTCTTTTTTTTTTTTTTTCATTTTGCTTTTGCAAGTTTTATGGTCGATACAATGACCTTGTCAGCAAATTCAACTTATCATTAAGTCAAATGCTGATTGACGTTTTTCATACTAATTGTTAGGCCATTATTTACTCACTGAATTGTCTACGGATCTTTTCCGGGTTTTTTTTACGATCATGACAAGGAGCACACACGGAGGGGGGGGGGGGGAATTCTCACTCCTCCATGGCACCTGATCCCACTCCCACCTTTTGGAGGTCCGCGTTTGCTTTGGTCCCGATTTGTGTTGTTTAAAGGTACTCTGAGCTTGAATACTAATCGTTATCTCCATATTTCATTTGAAGACAAATAAGTTCAATTAATGTTTCTACTTTCCAAATTTGCTCGGACCATAGGACAGAGATGACAATCTAAAACCACCTTCAACACAGATGTAAATACGAATAGTACAATTAAACCTGTCTAATCCGATATGCAATGGTAGACAAATTTTGTGTCGGACAAAACAAGGTGTCGGATTACACAATGTAAAGAAAATGATAAATAGTAAAATGCGAATGAAAAGAGAGGTCGGAATTCACATTGAAATTGATTGCATAGGGGTTGGATTAGAGTTTTCAATGTATGTTCATTTAACGAAAGACATACAAATAAGAACACACATTAAAGAAATATATGAGTTACGATCTTAACACAGAGAAAATCAAAAAAATAAGACCATTAAAGACTTCGTAAGCGATAGTTGCACCATCGTCTGATGCTCTTGAGGAATATTGTAATCGAACATTTTTCCCTGGAGAATATTTCTGCTGAATCATAAGTTCTGATCGATCAGCAGATAGAGACAATTACGACGATTTTTTGGATTTCCATTGAAATTTCTTGAAATCACACCTTAAGTATGCTCTGACGATTTTTCGTGGAAAATTTTGTGACCTCATACATAGCGTAAATTAAACTGAAAGCTGAAAAAAGAACGTTTACTTTACAGTTTTGAGCTAACTTGCTTTTTGAGGTGTAAAAGAATGTAAAAAAAAATTGTGGGAAAAAATGGTATAATTTAATAGTTTTCTGTATGCTCTGCGTTGTCTCAATATTAAACTATATGAAAAATAAATTTTGACTTTAAAAGAAGAAAAGCAAATCAAAAAACCAAGCAAAGAAGCAAATTTAAAACAAACAAACAAAAGCAAAAGAAACGGAAATATCCTTAATTGAATTATTCTGTTTTCTTCATTTATGTAAACAGTAATTTCTGTTAAAGTACGAGTTCTTGTTAGTACTATGTAATCTAACTTTCAATATATATATATATATATATATATATATATATATATATATATATATATATATATATAAATCAGATATGGGGCAATTTTTTTTTATCAGTTTATTATTTCATTTAATTAAATCATATTTTTGTCTAAATGGTACCTGAGCGCATATCATTAGTAATCCCCGTGAATGCATTGTGTTACGATGAATGGACAATAATTGATCAATTAATTCTCCGATTTAACTCATTAACATTTAATTAGTAACTTGAAGCCCATTTAATCACCATCCTGCATGCTTCATGCTGCAAGATTCTTCCTGTTTTTCAGAAAAGGTAAACCAGGGATTTAAAAAATCGCGTTCCAAAACGCCCATGTCTTTATTTAAAATCTCTTTCAGAATAAAAGTAAACAACATAGAATGCAGAAAAAATACTTTTTCCTGTTGAATTTGTCACGGACGTGGTTTGTTTCAATGTATTTTATTTGTACAATCATTCGCCACATCATGCATCAAATATCACAACTGTAGAATTAATGTGGAGACTTACAAGAAAGTTTTGCATTCATTATCATTTTTGACACTTAATTAACGCCACCAATTAAGTTGTCAAAGACAACACCGTCACTTAAAAATAAATCAGAATATGACGTATTACATTTGTCATAAGCTACTTTGCTAGTAATACGCCATGTAATAACATAATATTATTCCGGAACTTACCTATTTAATATAAAAAGGCATTGTATTTGAAATCATTCTTCAATACCATCATCTTAATTGACAATCATTTACTGACTTTTATTTTTCTTTTCTTTCTTTTTTTCATTCAAAAAAAAAAAAAAAATTATTGATAAAAATATGTTCGTACTTTACATTTTTGGATTGTATTGCCTTTTTGTGGTACAGATAGCAGCTGATTGTAAGTATATTTTCTTTCATTAAAATAAAAAGATTTCTTCTTTTCCTAAATTCTTTTGATAATTGCTTCCTACATGTATGTACATATGTCTGATTTGTTAAGGACATACGCAACGTACTTTGAACTTGATTGTCTTTTCCCCAGAAGTTGAAGAGTTCCAATACTTAAAGGAACTATGTGCTACATTTTAATGTCTATATATGCTAGTGTACACTTCTTCTAAAACAAGTTTGGATAAACAAAACATCTAGAATACATGTTAAGTAATTTTTGTATATTTTTCTTTGAATTATACAGGATTTTTCATCAATTGTTATCTTTTCAAAACCCCTGGTAATGCATGCTGATTTTTTTGTCTACGAACATCCGATGGCACTATAATCTTAAATTAAGAATATCTTGAAAAATTATCAGTAGGTAAGGTACGTTGCGTATGTCCTTAAGTATACTATACCTTCACCTAGCATTTTTTGTCAATTGAAAATTAAGTTTATCGATTATGTTTAGTAGCATGTCAATTTCTACTGCGATTTTACTTTTAAAAATTAATTTTTTTCAGGTCTAGGTCTGTTCTTTTTTCTCTATAATTGCTTTCCTATTTGTTTCTTTGTCTAATATGGCTGATTTTGATCTCGTTTATCTGTATGCCTGTCTGTATGCAGGAAGGGTATTTCAAAAAGTAATAAAGAAATGTTCATGAATTATTAGATTAAGGAGCTACCCTACAATTGGAAGTAGAGATTATAGTCAGAGACTTCAGTTTTTGCATCGTCAAATTTCTCTTTTTATGTAATAAAATTCCTCAATCGCCTGCATTTAGTGCTTATGTCTCCCAACAGATTCGATTCTCAAGAGCATGTTCTGAGTACGATTTTTAGCTCAACTGAGCTGAAAGCTCAAGTGAGCTTTTCTGATCACCCGTTGTCCGTCGTCCGTCCGTCTAGCTGTCTGTCCGTCTGTGAACTTTTCACATTTTCAACTTCTTCTCAAGAACCACTGGGCCAAATTTAACCAAACTTGGTAGAAAGTCTCCTTGAATAAAGGGGAGTTTAAATTATTAAAATAAAGGGCCAAGTCCCCTTGCAAGGGGAGATAATCACGAAAAGACAAAAATAGGGTGGGGTCATTAAAAAATCTTCTTTTCAAGAACCAATGGGCCAAAAAAGCTGAAACTTATGTGGAAGCATCCTCAAGTAGTGTAGATGCTAAATTATTCAAATCATAACCCCCGAGGTAAGGGCAGGGCCACAATAGAGAATCCAAGTTTTGCATTGAAATATGTAAGAAAAATCTTTGAAAAATCTTCTTCTCAAAAACAACTGGGCCAGAAAACTGAAACTTATGTGGAAGCATCCTGGTTTAGTGTACATTCTAAATTGTTCAAATTATGACCCCCGGGGGTAGGGCGGAGCCACAATAGGGAATCCAAGTTTTACATTGAAATATATAGGAAAATCTTTTAAAATCTTCTTCTCAAGAATCACTGGGCCAGAAAAGCTGAAACTTATGTGGAAGCATCCTGGTGTAGTGAAGATGCTAAATTTTTCAAATCATGACCCCTGGTGGTAGGGCAGGGCCACAATAGGGAATCCAAGTTTTACATTGAAATATATAGGAAAAATCTTTAAAAATCTTCTTCTCAAGAACCACTGGACCAGAAAAGGTGATGTGAAAGCATCCTGGGATAGTATAGATTCTAAATTGTTCAAATCGTGACCCCCGGGGGTAGGGCGGGGCCACAATAGGTATTACAAGGGGGGAAATCTGAGAAAAGAACAGCATGGTCAAAGTTACTCAGGTGAGCGAAGTGGCCCATGGGCCTCTTGTTTAAACATAGGCAACCTACTGACAAATAACCTGGTGTTACAAGGTTTTCCATTTTCTCTTTAAAAGTCGATATTTTGTAAAATCCATGTCGTTATAATGATCTTTTTTACGAATACATTCTACTGTTGGGTCGTATTTTGACTGACATGTTTTCCATCAATTGATAGGCTATTTTTTTCCATTTTGAGTATGAGTTACTCCGTTTACCTGATCAATACAGAGGCTTACGGCATGTGGAAAAAAAATGGTCGACATGCAGGGGACGTTTACTCCTCTTAAGCACCTGATCCCAATTTTGGTGCTTCCAAAAGTCTGGGTTTTTTTTCTGTTCAGGATTCGTGTTCTTCGCTGAATTTATTAAATTGATCACTGTTCGTTATTTTCACCTTTTACAATTGTCATGCATCAGATAAACATAGTCCACTTACATTTCAATTTTACTGTCTCATCATTTCGTTGCAAATAACTCTTAAAGTAATGAATGGCTGTTAATGACATTAAAGAAAAATGTACAACCTTTAGTGCTTTGAATATTTTTTGGATATGAACATCAGTTTTATGCGAATGACGATTTTTCCATCACTTAGAATGCAGGATGAAAGGTCACCTGAAATAAAACATAGGTTAGATGAAGAAAGTACTCCAAGTTAATGACGATACAAGTATGATCTTTCTGAGTCCTCCTAATTCACAGACAGCTTTAACATATTACCATACACTTTGTATAATCAGTACAAATTTAATTATTTCCCTCTCAATTCTGATCATTGAATATTTCTTTCGCATTTTTTTTTAAGATTTAAAATTCTTTACTGCTTAATTTTATTTCAATTTTTTTTTTTTTTTTTTTTTTTTTTGATAAACTGTTTTGTTTTGTTGTTCGTGAGATTATCAGTGAAAAGAGGGAAACTTCTTTTAAATGGAGTATCTTGTGGAAAGTTAAAATGCCGTTAAAGTAAAAGTTTTCATTCATGTCTCAAAGGTTTTTGTAATCGCAATATTTCCAAACAATTCAGATGAATTTAATTACAAAAAAGCTTTGCAATTAAAACTGTGAGAGTATACGTACACTATAATATATACAGGATAAAGGGCAATTGAGAGGAAATTTTTTCTGCTATGCATGTATATGCTGTTTATAACACGTATATATGTCCCAGAGCACATTATTTTCTTTAAAATTAAACTTTGGCTAATTACATGTACTTATTTAACTTTCCTTCCAAATAATATTTGTGAATAGAACTGATGAATTGCTAACATATCGTGATAAAATGAAAACAATAAATAATCGCTGTATTGTTTTACTTTGTAAAAGTCATATAAACCAAACCAGTACTGCAATAAAAGAAGCAATCAGATAGATCAAAATCTCTTCATATTTCCTTATTCACCATACCTAGTACGTCATCCATTTGTCAGGTGTGCGGCTGGGAAGTCTTCATAGATCAATCTATAAATAAGGACAATAAAATTATATTTTAATTAACTATTTTATTTCTACTATTCTTTCTAAGAGTAAAATACAATCAATGAATTATTTCTGCATTATTGCTTATTATTTTTAGCTCTTTTCAACATTTTTGGAATGATGAAATACCAAAATAGATATCCATGGGTTAGAAAACTTTTAACATCATGTTATATTGAAGTCAAGAACAAGTAAAAATATAGCAAATTATTATTGATGTAAGAAAAATATTTTGAATTCCAACATCTAATTGTGAAGTGATATTAACATTGAAAATATTCCTTGCGTCAATTACACGACAATCTTTAGGTATTCAGCAAGAATGTAGTAGAGCATTTATTTATTTAATCTATAGTATTGAAACATATTTCGGAAACATGAATTTATTCAATATTGCTCGGTGACCTTGGTCTTTCGAAGATGACTTTAAGTCGGTATTATGACGCACCTTTTCGTACGTCATAAAAACAACATTCTAAAGTTGGATTTTATTTAATTCCAGATTTCGAAAGTTTAAGTCAAACATCAGGCTAAAATTGTGTGCATAAAAGTATATGAGGAGAGCCAGCCCCCTTCCCCCTCGACCCCCCTCCTCCTATTTTTTAAATCAGAATACATACATTACTCTGCTGTAGACATGGCCGTAGGAACCGGGAGAGGGGCACGAGGGGGGCGTGCCCCCCTCCAATAATTTTTTTGCCGATGTATAGATTACTGTAAAAACATATCTACTATATGCTTGTGGCATATCAATAAGAACGTCTGATGATTTTTTTTTTATCCCCTCAACTGAAAATGTATGGCTGTGCCCCCCCCCCCCCCCCCCAAACTTGGAAAGGCTTAAATTACGCCTTTTGAAAAGGCTAATTGAGAAAAAGCAAATTGAAAGTGGGGGAGGGGGGGGTTAAACCAACAAAAAAAGGTAAGCGCCAATTTTCAACCATACTATGCCTATCTTTGCCAAAAAAATGGGGGGGGGGGCGTTAAGCCCCCCTAGCCCCCCCCCCCCCCCCCCCGCGGTTCCGACGCCTGTGTTATATACATGTCAAAGCCGTAACTACCATTGAGGTAGTGAGGTTTGTTTGTTTGTTGTTTAACGTCCCTCTCGAGAATTTTTCACTCTTATGGAGATGCCATCAATTGCCGGTGGAGGGCTGCAAATTTTGACCTATACTCGACACTGAGGGCCATTGAGCAGTGAGGGATCTTTTTCGTGCCAGCACCTACTGCTACTGCTTTTTTTCTTCGTTTTTGTCCTTTTTAACTTTCATTTTCTGAATATGTATATCATATACTTGTACCTCTGACCTGAATTTATATGCTGTAAATATTTTTCATTGCCCTCATGTACCATATGAGTGAATAAATGAACTTAAACTTGGATCTCGGTTTATACGGACCGGCCTCCGCGTCCCGCAGTGGAATCGAACCCGCGACCTAAGGATTTACTACTTACATCGCGACTCTAGAACAAACGCTCTAACCACTGCGCCACGCGGGCGACTGCGAAGTGAGGTAAATGCCTCCCCCGCCCCAAGAACCCCCATTAAGACACTACCCTGGACCCGCTTGGGACCCGGCTGGGCCTCAGATCCCCTGCGTCACTAAAAAGAGTCTATTTATGGCGTTGCATGTATGAATAAAACACCTTTATAGGAATGGAAAACTAAAATTTTATGAATGTATATTTTATTTGTGATTTCTTTCCCCACCAGCTCCAGACCCAGTATGTTCAGATGGCCTTCAATCGTACACACCAGGACAGGTATTTACAGACAGAGCAGGACAAAAATGTAAATGTGGATACGACTTCAAAATAACCTGCGAAGAACTAAACAAAGGTAGGTGGGGAAAATCAACAGCGATCATTATTTGCTGGTTCATTTTGCAATTGTCTGCGTATTTCCTGGTATATTTGTAAACACAACGCATTTGCATCTTAATTTGACCAAACCAAACCAAAAAAATCAGACTAATTAATATTAGTAAATTTTACAGATAAAATGAATAAAGAATTGAAAATATGATCACCTATATATATATCACCTATATAGAAAGTCATTTTGAAATTGATAACTGTTTTGGATTGGATCAATGATAATTATTTTGGCTATCTGTTTTGGATTGGGTCAATGATAATCATGAAAGTATTTCGAAGTATTTGAAAAAAATAATGACTCAGTCTATTTACAATCAGTCAAATGTCAGGTCTTCATAAATCTTAATCTTGACAAACGTATATAAAATTAGATATTCAGCCATCAATATTTGAAGCTGTTTTCGGAGTTTGATTTGATTTACGACCGAATACATTTGAAACTTAACAGGATTTGCTGCAAAATATCGAGCACCTGTGGGGGTTACTGACCACGGATAATAAATCATCATTTTTAAAAGCACAATTTGAGAAATCAGATTCCTTTTTAGAAGTTACACCTAATAAAATAATTACGAAACTACATGTACAAGTAAATTTTGATTTTATTTGAAATATTTTCTCATATATTACAGTTTGAACTTTGCACTCAAGAAGGAAGCTTCTTTGAATTTTTAAACTTCGATTTAAACAAGAACATGTATATGCACTTGTATAAAAAGAGCAAGTTTTAGTTTGAATTATTTATCTTCGATAGACTTGCAATTTATACTTTCTAAATATCGTCACATTTGTCCTTAACCTGACATGATAAAATACATACTAATGTTATTTTGTCGTCTTTGTGAATTTTGATATTACTTAAAGTATTCAATATTTTTATTTTTTCCAAATACATTTCTGTTTTCATGATTTTTATAAAAATACTAGATTTTGACCCGTGCGTGCACGGGTTGACATTGTTATGAATGCATCCATGTGCATATCGGACATTTACAAAATAGATACATCGACACATTCATATTGTAAGGTATTTTTGAAATAAACAATGAATGTTAATATAATTCTGTTTGTTTTTTTTTTGTGTTTGTTTTGTTTTTGTTTTTGTTTTTGTTTTTTTAAATTGTTGCGTAACGGCGTAGAGCAGAATGGGTTTGACCACCAGTTAGCTATAAATCAAGTCTTGAGTTCGAATCACGCCAGAGCTTACATAAATTTCACCTTTCCAAACAAATTTAGTAAAAGTAATTATGGATCGATGTTCATTGAAAATATGACAACAGCAAAGAGTTGAGCACACTGCTGATACATATCAAGCAAAGTAATGAAAATGAAGAATTGTGCTAAGCTGGTATTTTTACACAATCAGTTATTAAAGTAAAGGTGTAAAAAACAATTTTAACACTGCAGGTCTCAACTTTTTCAAAATATGACCTCAACAATAAAAGAGTTAAGCACAGCTAATACATATACTTTATATATACACAGGTAATGGACACTTATATAATCTGTAAAAGACTGTCTGTTTTGATAAAAATTAATGTAATATCCTTGAATTAGTACATCGAAAAAGTAATAAAAATAGAAGCTTAATTGAGAAAAAATAAAAACAAATTGGTAATCTTCAAGTACCAATGATGTTTAAAATACATAAAACAAAAGACAGTTTTCTTCCAATTTATCGGTATTAAAGGCCAAAAATTCGAGTCTATAATTTTTATATAGTAGTTATTGTAATTTTTGGCGGAAAAAGAATGCCTACTTCACTAAGATGTGATTCTAACTGGAGTTGTAACACCCCCCTTTAGTTCCCCTCAAAAAAAGCATTAAAGAAAGGAGGGATAAAATAAATCGGGTAGTTACATTAATGTTGCTCCTACGATCATGAGCTTTTTGCCTCCGTTGAGATGGCCAGAGATATAAATAACATATAATAAATGTGTCTCCGAGATGGCCACAATATCACATTTGTATGGATATAAACTCAGAAACGATTACGATAATACAAACATATAGACGTCAGAAGCAAATTGAAAGTGGGTGGCTATTTGAAAGTGGGGGGGGGGGGCTAAACCAACGAAAAAAGGTAAGCCCCAGTTTTCAATGCCTATATTATGCCTATCTTTGCAAAAAAAAGTGGGGGGAGGGGGGCTAAGCCCCCCTAGCCCCCCCCCCCCCCCGGTTCCAACGCCTATAACAAATACGTGTAAATTTTCATTGGAAATTTGCTATATATTCTGTTCATATACATTAATGATTTCTTATTAGAGAAATTATACAATAACAAATATATATCTATCTAGTATATACTTTTGTCTTCTCTGATTTGAAAACACTCTCGACCAACGGCTCATACATTCGTGTATAAGAGAGAAACGAACGACAACTCTGCAAGGGAGATTGGTTTGAACACCGTGATTTAGCGTGAATGTAATGCGCACGCGCAAGATTGTAAAATCCAAAAAATCCAGATGATTTCCGGAATTTTTTGAGGAATTTTCGTTGATTATTAATTAGCGAAGCTTAATTGAGAAAAAATAAAAACAAATTGGTAATCTTCAAGTACCATTGATGTTTAAAATATATCAAATAAAAGACGGTACTCTTCCGATTTATCGGTATTAAAGGCCAAAAATTCGAGTCTATTATTTTAATATAGTAGTATAGATACCATTTTTAAAACAACAGAGAAACCCAGTTCTAGTCAAACATATAGAATTATCCAGTTCATTGATATTTACAAATTAACCTTGATATGGCCATGTTCTGAGCAAATATTTTACAAAACTATTATCTACATATATTTCGTACGTACAGCTTTCTATTCACTTAATTTCCAGGATGCGTGTACTTAGGGAAGCAATACAGGAATGGAATGATATTTCCGGCTGAAGATGGTTGCAATACCTGTCGGTGTAAATTAACAGGGCAGATACTGTGCTCAAGAAAAGAGTGTTATCAAAGAACAAGTAAGACTCCTAATCCTATATTGCATATACATTGTGGATGTCTGAGTCATTACAATCATAAACATCCATAGTTATTTAAAAAATGGATAGAAAATAAAATTACCTTTCAATTTCCAATTCATTTATATATTTTCCTATAATCAAACATTACACTGTTATATTATTATTATATTATAATTGAAGCTTGCATCCTGTCATATTTTTAATCTTATGAGGAAAAAGGGTTATCCATTTCTACTACAATTCTGAAAATATATTCATATTTTCAAGATTATTGTACAACTTATAAAAAAAGCAATTAATAGTACATTTGTTTTAATTATTTTCTTTTTTAGTGTGATTAAAAAAAAAAAGAAAAAAAGAAACAAACAAACAAACAAAAACAAATTAGTACATGTGCATGTATCATGATGTCACTTATTGCTGCAAACCTAGGAAAATCGCATTCCTCTTATCTTTTTTATCTTTCAGCATGTCAGCATTTAGGGGTCCTGTACAGAGCGGGGAAGACGTTTAAGAAGGGGGATAGCTGTAATTCGTGCACCTGTTTGGTGTCGGGAAAAGTCCAGTGCACAGACAACAAGTGCTTCCCAGGTAGGTATTATTTTCATTTTATTTTTGATTTAATTTTAGAGAGTACTAGTATATACTCGGTTTCAGAAGAGAACACATGTATCATTGTGTACTTGTACATTAGACAAATCATTTGCAAAAAAAAAAAAAAAAAGAAAAAAAAAAAAAAGAAAAAAAAAAAGAAAAAAAAAATCTTTGAGTATACGAATGTGAAAAGAGAATGAAAATCTTATCAACACCAAAATTATAATATCTTTTGCATCAGGAATAAATTGAATATTTGAGAGATATAACGTTAATTCCATTATAAAAACGTTAATTGTCTAGATTGTCGATACGGAGGCAAAACTTACAAAGCTGGTGCTATATTTCAAAAGGGGGATAACTGCAACAGATGTACCTGCATGGTGACTGGTTCAGTTCTATGTACAACAGATTCCTGTGCACCAAGTAAGGAAGACTTTAGTCCAGTCTGATTAAAATCAAACCTTCACTAGCGTCACGTGACAATCAAAATAAAAAAGAGCTAGTGAAGGTTTGATTTTAATCAGACAGACTTTAGCCCCTCCATTTATTTACATCCCGTTTATTAAGAAAAATTATTGCCTTCAGGTTTCTTTTTCTAGTGAGTTTTCAATATAGTGGTATCATTTTTTTTCTAGAATTTCCACAATATTATTTAATGTGTATTGAATGAGTTACATACATGCATACAAAATAATATAGTTTTATTTGTCTGCTTCCTTTTCTGAATTACAATTATGATGGAAAATTAAGGACATACGCAACGTAGTTTGAATTTTATTGTATTTTCCCTGGAGTTGAAGAGTTCCAGTACTTAAAGAAACTGTGTACTACATTTTAATGTCTATATATGCTGGTGTACACTTCTTCTAAAACAAGTTTTGATAAACAAAACTTCTAGAATATACGTTTAGTAATTTTTGTAAATTTTTTTCTTTAAATTATACAAGAATTTTCATCAATTGATATCTTTTCAAAACCCCTGGTAATGCATGCTGATTTTTATTTACAAACATCTGATGGCACTATAATCTTAAATTAAGAATGTCTTGAAAAATTATCAGTAGGTAAGGTACGCTGCGTACATGTATGTCCTTAAACTTCCACGCATTTTTAAAGTCATCAAAAATATCATCTGACTATGCCGGACTATATATTAACTAAATTATATACAGTTTCCTTGTCCTGGCATTTTCAAAGACCATTCTCAGATAAAACGTAATTTGACTTAAACTTTTTTTTTTCTGCAGAATGCGTTCACAAGGGCAAGCAGTACGAAGCTGGGTCTAGTTTTCGCAAAGGCGATGGTTGTAATGACTGCAGGTGTCTCGATGGAGGAGTCGTGCAATGTACAAACAGAAAATGTTACCCAGGTATATTGTCAAATAAGTTGGTCTTGCGCAGATTAATGTTAAGTTTGACCAATTGAAAGCAAGCTCCCGAATGTTGACTATGTTCTTCCAGCCATTAAAATGTGCGTTGGAGATGCTTTTAAGGTGATGTGTGGGGTGCACGTGGGTGGGTGGTACATTTATCTTAATAAGATTGCAAGTATGACTTTGATGATCATGAGGAATGAGAGCACTCGTTTTTTAAAGCATATGAAATTTTAGTCTCATGATAAAGTTTGAGAGGAATGAAGGCAGATAATATGTAGAGAAAAAAAAAATATATGTGGTTATTCAAGCATTTTGTTGCTATGAATATACCATTTATTCAAGAACATTTACATTCAGACCCCCCACCCCCACCCCCCATAAAAGATATCCGACTCTTGAGTAAAACGTGGTGTGAAAATTGCATTATCATTGTTATTTTACAATTTACAGACTGTGTTTATCACGGAGAAGGTTTCATGAGAGGGGAAATGTTTGACAAGGGTGACCACTGCAATATGTGTAAATGTATGGCTGATGGAACTGTGCAGTGCTCAACCAAATCATGTTTTAAAGGTGCGCGCTCTCTCTCTCTCTCTCAAATATGAACATGCTCATGTCTGAATTATATATCATTAAGATATGCTAGATGTTGCTATTTTATTGGTTTGAAAAAAATAATCAGCTATCGTGAAGAAATCGGTGATATTATTATCATAATCACAGTGAATTATGCAAAATATTACGTTTTAACAGATTGTCATCATAATGGGGTTGTTTACAAGGCTGGTCAAAGCTTCAAGGTAGACAAATGTAACACATGTTGGTGTATGGTCACTGGAAAACTTAGCTGTACAAAGTTGCCATGTTATCCAGGTTTGATATGGCCTACTGAGAGTACTTAAGAGATAAAACACTTGATGCTCTAGCTATTAGTCGAAAAGATATCGTAACATACCGTTAAGACTGACTTTGTTAAATCTATTCGACTTATATGATCCAAGACCTGAATCAGTTAAGAAGTTTCTTTTTTTTTTTTTTTTTTTTTTTTTTTTTTAATTAAAACAATATGAACCTGAACACAACAAGTTAATTAAGTTAATTTAAACACCACAACTTTCCCATTATACTTGTAACACGACGTGTATCTTCATGCAGAAATGATATCACCATTGAAATACATATATATAAGTGTATTGCCTTGATTTTAAAATGAAGTTTGTGTTTTGATTCACAGACTGTACATATTTGGGAAAATCCCACAAATCCGGTGATATTTTTCCCAAGGGAGACGACTGCAATACATGTACCTGTACCGTAACCGGTGACGTCACGTGTGGGAAAAAGTCCTGTCAACCTGTGTATGTTGCACCTCAGTATTTACCGACAATTAAAGGTAGGTTTGAACGACCTTAATTATGTTCCCCAAACGAAGTTTGGGAACATATTGTTTTTACTCGGTTTCTTATTAAGGTCTTCCGTCTCCAACGGAAGACCTTATTGTTTTCGTTCGGTTTCTTTTTCCCTATTCTTATTATTAAGGTCTTCCGTCTCCAACGGAAGACCTTATTGTTTTCGTTCGGTTTCTTTTTCCCTATTATTATTATTATTATTAGGGTCTTCCGTCTTCAGCGGAAGACCCTTCTATTATTCTTATGTTTCTTTTTCACTTTTATTATTATTAGGGTCTTCCGTCTCCAACGGAAGACCCTTCTATTATTCTATTGTTTCTTTTTCACTTTTATTATTAGGGTCTTCCGTCTCCAACGGAAGACCCTTCTATTATTCTATTGTTTCTTTTTCACTTTTATTATTATTATTATTATTCTTTTTTTTTCTTTACAATTTTTGTGCAGAAGATTTCACGGAGTTGGCTCGATCGATTTACTTGAAAATTTCAGGGAAGATGTATCTTTGTCTGAACCTTATACGTTTTTCTCATTTTTTTGAAATTCACTTCCGGTCGGAAGTTATCGCCCTTTAATCAAAATTCAGAGGACCTCCTTGTCTGCAATGGAACTCAAAAACGATTAAAGCTAGAGTGCTGAAATTTTCAGCGATGATAGAGGACATGTTGCCATTGATCACCTGGGTTTTCAAATCTTCCGGAAGTGCCTAGTATGGAAGCTCGGTAGGGGTCAAAATTTAGGACACGAATCATGAGTGAATTTTAGAGACATTTCTTACGATAACTTTTTCACTATGAGTATTTTGTTAAAACATATTGAACAGAAATTGTGTAGAATTACAGGATCTTTAATATGATATCAAAAAAAAAGGGCTGACTCATCAAAGTAGGGGCTGAGAAGGGCCAAAAGTCTTTAATCAATAACTCTTGAACGATCAATATTTTGTAATGCATTACTGAAGCAAAAATGTTTATCTCAACAATTTACAACTATATATTATGATATTCACATCATTTGTTACATAATCAGGGGCCATAAGGGGCCAGAATGCTAAATCTTTGACGCTTTATATCTCAAAAGTGGGAAATATTTTGATAAGCAATATTGAACAAAAGATGTCCAAAATAATGTTCTAAACAAGATGCAACCTTTCATTTTTTGCTAAACGGCCCCATTAAGGAGTTGAAGGGCCGGCCCCTAAATACTTCTTTTGTAAATATCTCAGAAACGAAAAAGAATTTCTGACTAGTTGTTGAACAAAAAGTGTTCAAGATCATGAGAGCTTTAAAGTGATATGAAGAAAAAGGGGCTGGACCCTTAAAATAGGGGCCGAGAGGGGCCGAAGTCTTTGAACAATAGCTCTTTAACGATCAATATTTTGTAACGCATTACTGAAGCAAAAATGTTTATCTCAACAATTTACAACTATATATTATTATATTCACATCATTTGTTACATAATCAGGGGCCATAAGGGGCCAGAATGCTAAATCTTTGACGTTTTATATCTCAAAAGTGGGAAATATTTTGATAAGCAATGTTGAACAAAACATGTCCAAAATAATGTTCTAAACAAGATGCAACCTTTCATTTTTTGCTAAACGTCCCCATTAAGGAGTTGAAGGGCCGGCCCCTAAATACTTCTTTTGCAAATATCTGGGAAACGAAAAAGAATTTCTGAGTAGTTGTTGAACAAAAAGTGTTCAAAATTATGAAAGCTTTAAAGTGATATGAAGAAAAAAGGGCTGGACCCTCACAATAGGGGCTGAGAGGGGCCGAAAGTCTTTGAACAATAGCTCTTTAACGGTCAATATTTTGTAATGCATTACTGAAGCAAAAAAGTTTATCTCAACAATTTACAACTATATATTATGATATTCACATCATTTGTTACATAATCAGGGGCCATAAGGGGCCAGAATGCTAAATCTTTGACGCTTTATATCTCAAAAGTGGGAAATATTTTGATAAGCAATATTGAACAAAAGATGTCCAAAATAATGTTCTAAACAAGATGCAACCTTTCATTTTTTGCTAAACGTCCCCATTAAGGAGATGAAGGGCCGGCCCCTAAATACTACTTTTGCGAATATCTCAGAAACGAAAAAGAATTTCTGACTAGTTGTTGAACAAAAAGTGTTCAAAATCATGAGAGCTTTAAGGTGATATCAAGGAAAAGGGTCTGACCCCTTAAATAAGGGCCGATTGGGGCCGAAAGTATACAATCAATAACTCTTTAATGATCAATATTTTGTAATATATTACTGAAGCGAAATAGTTCTTCTTCTCACACTTTATCTAAATAACATGATGTTGATATCATATGTTACGCAATAAGGGGTCTTTAGGGGGCCAGATTGCATAATCTTTGGCGCAATATGTCTCGAAAAGGAAGAATATTTTGATAAACAGTTTTGAACAAAAGACGTTCAAAATAATATTCTGAACAATATGCACTCTTTGAATTCTTGCTAGACGTCCCCATTTAGGACTTGAAGGGCCGGCCCTTAATATTTCTTTTGCATATATCCCGAAAACAAAACAGAATTTCTGAATAGTTGTTGAACAAAAAGTGTTCAAAATCATGAGAGCTTTAAGATGATATCAAGAAAAAGGGGCTGACCTCTCACATTAGGGGCCAAGAAGGGCCGAAAGTCTTTAAGCTATAACCCTTTAATGATCAATATTTTGTTAAACATTATTTAAACAAAATTGTTCGTCTTAACAATTTATTTATATCATTATATTTGAACGAAAATCTCAGTCAAATTCATATCTCATCTTATCAAAAATCGGACGGAAGACCCACTCGTTGCTCGCAACGAGATCTCATCTAGTTATTATTATTATTCTTTTTTTTTCTTTACAATTTTTGTGCAGAAGATTTCTCGGAGTTGGCTGGATCGATTTACTTGAAAATTTCAGGGAAGATGTATCTTTGTCTGAACCTTATACGTTTTTCTCATTTTTTTGAAATTCACTTCCGGTCGGAAGTTATCGCCCTTTAATTAAAATTCAGAGGACCTCCTTGTCTGCAATGGAACTCAAAAACGATTAAAGCTAGAGTGCTGAAATTTTCAGCGATGAGAGAGGACACGTTGCCATTGATCACCTGGGTTTTCAAATTTTCCGGAAGTGCCTAGTATGGAAGCTCGGTAGGGGTCGAAATTTAGGACACGAATCATGAGTGAATTTTAGAGACATTTCTTACGATAACTTTTTAACTATGAGTATTTTCTTAAAACATATTGAACAGAAATTGTGTAGAATTACGAGATCTTTTATATGAAATCAAAGAAAAAGGGCTGACTCATCACATTAGGGGCTGAGAAGGGCCGAAAGTCTTTCATCAATAACTCTTTAACGATCAATATTTGTAATTGCATTACTGAAGCAAAAATGTTTATCTCAACAATTTACAACTATATATTATGATATTCACATCATATGTTACATAATTAGGGGCCATAAGGGGCCAGAATGCTAAATCTTTGACGCTTTATATCTCAAAAGTGACAAATATTTTGATAAGCAATATTGAACAAAAGATGTTCAAAATAATGTTCTAAACAATATGCAACCTTTCATATTCTGCTAAACGTCCCCATTTAGGAGTTGAAGGGCCGGCCCCTAAATACTTCCTTTGCAAATATCTCAGAAACGAAGAAAAATTTCTGAGTAGTTGTTGAACAAAAAGTGTTCAAAATCATGAGAGCGTTAAAGTGATATGAAGAAAAAGGGGCTGACCCTCAAAATAGGGGCTGAGAGGGGCCGAAAGTCTTTGAACAATAACTCTTTAACGATCAATATTTTGTAATGCATTACTGAAGCAAAAATGTTCATCTCAACAATTTACAACTATATATTATGATATTCACATCATATGTTACATAATTAGGGGCCATAAGGGGCCAGAATGCTAAATCTTTGACGCTTTATATCTCAAAAGTGGGAAATATTTTGATAAGCAACATTGAACAAAAGTTATTCAAAATAATGTTCTAAACAATATGCAACCTTTTGATTTTTGCTGAACGTCCCCATTAAGGAGTTGAAGGGCCGGCCCCTAAATATATCCTTCAGATATATCTCGGAAACGAAAAAGAATTTTTGAATAATTCTTGAACAAAAAGTGTTCAAAATCATGAGAACTTTAAGGTGATATCAAGGAAAAGGGTCTGACCCATTAGATAAGGAGCTGAGAGGGTCCGAAAGTATACAATCAATAACTCTTTAATGATCAATATTTTGTAATATATAACTGAAGCGAAATAGTACATCTTCACACACTTTATCTAAATAACATGATGTTGATATCATATATTACGCAGTAAGGGGTCTTTAGGGGACCAGATTGCATAATCTATGGCGCAATATATCTCGAAAAGGAAGAATATTTTGATAAACAGTATTGAACAAAAGACGATCAAAATAATATTCTGAACAATATGCACTCTTTCAATTTTTGCTAGACGTCCCCATTTAGGACTTGAAGGGCCGGCCTTTAATATTTCTTTAGCATATATCCCGAAAACAAAAAAGAATTTCTGAACAGTTGTTGAACAAAAAGTGTTCAAAATCATGAGAGCTTTAAAATGATATCAGGAAAAAGGGGCTGACCTCTCACATTAGGGGCCAAGAAGGGGCGAAAGTCTTTAATCTATATTCCTTTATTGATCAATATTTTGTAAATCATTATTAAAGCAAAATTGTTCGTCTTAACAATTTATTTATGTCATTGTATTTGAACGAAAATCTCAATCAAATTCTTATCTCATCTTATCAAAAATCTGACGGAAGACCCACTCGTTGCTCGCAACGAGATCTCATCTAGTTCTTCTTTTTTTTCTCCTTACCGATTTTGTGCAGAAGATTTCTCGGAGATGAAATGATCGATTTACTTCAAATTTTCAGAGTTTATGTCTTATCATCTGAAGTTTGTACCGGCATTTCAAAATTTGAAAAATCACTTCCGGTCGGAAGTTAT